ACTCTATGGTTATAAGTGTCTTTTTACCTCATAACGACCATGTTTAAATGTAGTTAAGGTAAATATGAAAATGATACTAAGAAAGTGCAAGTTTATGCAATTTCCTTATATACATATTTTGCTTACAAAAATATAAATAACCTACATTAACAACTCGAATCAAGTCATAAACATAAATCTATTATGCTTTAAAATAAACAATTATTTATATTATAAAACATTAAAAATTAAAAATTAAAACATCAAAGTAACTTTGAAAAATAAATAAATAATATTATACAAATTAAATTAAAAACTATTTTGGGCTTCTTAATATATATTGTAAGTGACTTTTTATAAATCCTAAGAAATATATGCTAACTTGCATCAATAAGTTATTCAGATCACCAAAGCAAAACAATACTCTCAATAATATAAAATACCTAACAAATATATCCATTCATATTTTAAAATAAATTTTGTATTTACTTATTTAGATTTAAATAAGAAAAGTTTTTGGTAAAGGTCGTCCGATGTATGTTGTTGGGAAATACGCATGATGAAAATAAAAATAAAAATTTCTATGCATTTATTATATTTGAATTTACAAAAAAATAAAAATAAAACATAAAAAACTGTCTTAATCTAAAACTACTTCTATATGAAATTTTTACGTCTAATCAAACCATAAATTTTAACCAATTATCCCAAAAAAAAAATTTCATCTTGATAGCAATCACTATCCCAAATATATATATAAAAGAAAAAAATATATTATATTACTATATCTGATTCTTTCTAATTTATTTTTAAAAAATGAATTACGAGCTTGAACACCTGAACAATACTAGTAAAAAGCTTCAATCTAGGGTAAGACCGGATCTGGATCTAGAAAACTCAAGGTATCCGAATCTGGTTTCGGATTTGTCGGATTGGTGTATTTAGTATATGGATCCAGATTCAAAGCTTCAGGATATTCAATTTTTGAATATTTGTCTAGATATTTCATCACCCACAAGTTTCTCGATCCTGATTTGGATTTGTAACAGTAATTAAAAATAAAAATATCTTTTATAATACTAAAATTCTACGTAAATTAAATATTTTAAAAATATTTATAAATATAAATAGAGAAACTGCCTTGGATAGTTTTTTATAGTTTTTTCACAAAATAGCTTTTAAGGAGGAAAATGACCAAAATAGGTTTTTATTAAATAAGAAATATGCATTTATACTCTTGAGTTAACTAATCTAGACTTATAGTTTAGAGTTAAAGGGTGAAGTTTTGGGTTTAGGATTATAAATTTTTAAAAATAGAAAATAAATATTACAAATTAAAAAGGGTATTTTGGTCATTTACTTTTTGAATGCTAATTTGTGA